GGAAGGAAGTCTCTAACAAGAGTGTCAGACTCAGAGCGAGTCTTAGATCTACTTTCCTTCTCTTTCATTTATGAGCCATGTGAACCTTGTAAAGTTACTCGAATTACCAGAGCCACTGTTTCTTCAAAATAAAATGAATTCCCCGGGGCACCTGGGCGGCTCAAGTTGGTAGAGCATCGGCTCTTGATTTCAGCTCAGGTCATGATCCCAGGGTCCTGGAATTGAGCCCCCTATCTGGCTCTAGCACTGAGCTTGAAGCCTGCTTGAGATTCTCTCTGTCTCTTTCTCTCTCTGCCCCGCTCCCCTGCTCGCTCACTGTTTAAAAAAAAAAAAAAAAAGAATGAATCCCCACATCACAAAATGTCCAAATTCACATTAGGTACCCAAGAAATGGTAGCTGTAACTTTCACATAGTTCCGTGTACAAAAACAAACAGCAAACAAAAACCATGTGTGAAGTCCTAAATCAATAACCAATAATGTTAAGAAAAGAGTCCGTTTCTTCTCCAGTTCCCGAGTGGAAACTACAGTCTTGTCTTTGTAATTAACCAAGATTCCTAGAATTTCCCCTTTCTAATTGTTTAGTAAAGCAGCACAGAAGAACCCCATATTGGAACCGCAATCTTCACCTTGACAGAGCTGACATTTACATGGAATCCGTCCTTTCAATCTCTCACTGGAGACCATGATAAATGATTAAGCAGCAGTCGTTGCAGGCTTAATCTCACCCTCCAGGACAAATGAATTTCATGACTGTGACTCCAAACCTGAGGGGTTCCCTGTCAACCTTCAGAAAAAGAGCTCTGCTTCCTATACAAAGGCAAGGATGGGAAAGCCCAACGAAATCCAATTTGGGATGGTTTTCCAAATGAGGTACTTTCCAAAAGATAGGGTTGTTCAGTGTTACTCTCTTTTCCCCACTGGTTTCTAAAATTTCACTGTTTTTAGGCTTTCTACATTCCTAATTATATTTGACAGTCAAGGATCTGAAAAGCAGTGGATAGACAAATTACTACCAAATGCTACTGGGAAATAGATTTAGAACGATGCTGAATATTTTCATTCTTGAAACGCTTGGCAACCATCAATGTTTCACACATGATATCAATTAGAAGACAGAATAAATGGCCTCACAGAACGCATGCTGGCTTCTGTGGATAGCATGCTGGCAGGAAAAAAAAAAAAAAGGAGAAAAAGGCTAGGCCAAACTTAGTGGATGTGGCCTGGTGAGAGCCACCTAACTGAGTATATTTTTGCAACTTTAACACACATCGCAGGACATAACAGCAGCAGCTTCACAAATAATGAACACATACCAAAAAAGCTTGGAAAGGCTTAAACAAAACCCAAAGATATATTAATTATCATCAAGGCTCGTCAAGGGGAAACAGATTATTTCTACTTATTTAAATGAACATAGAGCTATTCATTACCAAACATTTTTTTTTTAAGAGCATATTTCTGTTGCCAAAATTAACTGTGATGCAGTCAGTTTGAACAAATTCCACAACTTGGGACACTTGTACTATCCATGAGGAAAAGATGGTAAATAACACTATTTACCTCTAGCAAATATCAATAAAATAGTGGAGTTGTCCCCCAGACAAGAAAGATGAAAAATAAGGGATGAGATGGGCCACCTGGGTGGCTCAGTCGGTTAAGCGTCCGACTCTTGATTTTGGCTCAAGTCATGATCTCACAATTCATGAGTTCCAGCCCCATGCTGGCAGTGGGGAGCCTGCTTGGGGTTCGTTCTCTCTCTCTCTCTCTCCCTCCCTCCCTCCCTCCCCTGCTCTTTCTCAAAATAAATAAATAACCTTTAAAAAAAGAAAAAGAAGGAAATGAAAATAAGTATTCTTTTTTGTTTTGTTTTGAGTGAGAGAGAGGGAGAGCAGGGGAGGGGCAGGGAGAGAAAGGAAGAGAGAGAGAATCCTAGGCAGGTGCCACATCCCCAGCCCAGAGCCCAATTCAGGGCTTGAACTCACAAACTATGAGATCGTGACATTAATCAAGGGTCAGACACTTAACCAACTGAGCCACCCAGGTGCCCCAGAAAATATTCTTTGTAATAAATGAAGTTAACGGATTGGGGCTGTTGTTTTATGATTTATTCTCACAGAAAGGATTAAAAGAGGTTAGCGTGCCTTTGTTAGAAAGACACGTAGGATTTCTTCTTTCATTTGCAACATGGCAGTTGAAGTGTTTTAAAAGCAAGTTTTTGATAAAAATAACATGTGGGATTTGGATTTCATAACATGAAAAGAAACAGAAGGGGAAGGGGTGAGACACAATGGAAAAGTGATGTGCCTTTAACCAAGCAGAGGAAAAAGTATTAAGGTATCAAAGTAAGACACAAGCCTCCTTAATTAAACTACCTAGACATGATGTCTCCATTCCTCCACAAGACGGTGGAATGTGAGAAGCAAAGAAGCTGCTGTAGGCTGAACATTCGTATCCCCTCCAAAATTCATATATTGAAATCGTAATTCTCAAGGCGATAGTTTTAGGAGCTAGGATCTTCAGGGGATGACTAGGTCATGAGGGTAGAGCCTTCATGACTGGGATTGATGCCCATATAAAGAGACTCTGGAGAGCTATCCTTCCCTTTCAGCATGTGAGGTTATGGCAAGAAGAAAGCTATCCATCAAGATAGTGGTCCACGAACCAAGAAGCAGGCTCTTACCAGACAGTGAATCTGGATCTCAAACTTACCAGCCTCCAGACCATGAGAAATAAATGTGTGTTAATAAGCTACCCAGTTTAAGTTATTTGTGTTACGACAACCTGAATGGATTTACACAGCATATGGTACTACGGGTAGAAGTTTGGATCGGGGGAATAGATTTCAACCATCTCAAATTATCTCCTGTAAGTATAGAAAGAGGCAACAAGAGCTTCAGCACTGAAAGGACAGGATCCCATTTGCAGGAAGAAGTCAAGTCACTATCATACATGAGCTGTAGAGAAAAGATTAAACAAGAAACAAATGACTCTGAACCTCCTTGATGGCATGGACTATATCAAACTGTGTACCAACCTTTCAGGAGCAAGCTCAACATTTAAAGAGCACCCGTATGGGTAGACATTATACCAGGTATGTTTTGTGTGGTGTGTGTGTGTGTGTGTGTGTGTGTTGAGTAATCTTTTATCTTCATTTGAAGAAACAGAGGCTTAGAGGTTAAGTAAACTAACCAAAGGACACGTAACTAGTAACTGGTATATATACCAGGTACAGTCCCATGACTGCCCCAAAACGAAAATGCTTCCTACCACATCAGGCAACATTTTTCCTATCTCCAGTACTTCCTCAAGTTAATGATATCTTAGAGAAACGGAATGAGAAAACTAACGCCACACACTGAGCATTTCTTATGAGTTAATAAGCATCTATAGACAACAGAGCTGTTGAATGGGTGGAGAACACAATGGAATTACAGCCCCAGTCAGACAAAATTACCATTCGTTAGAGGGAAAAAGTTAATTTCGGAAATGAGCTGATTTCTGTTTGGAAAAAATAATGAAAAGGAAATACTCCCAAAATGGTAACAGTGATCACCATTCAGAGGTAAACGTATACAATTCTCTCTTCTCTCAAAGCTTCTACTGAAAACACATTTCAAAATAACGTTTAGAATTATTTATTATGAAAGTAATATAATTATTAAAGTGACACTTTGCAATTCCGGATGACTAACTGACACAGTAAAGAACAAAAGTCCTTGGTCATGTATAGTAGTCCCCTGCTGTAATATGAAACCCTTAACAACTCTGTCAACTACTGGGCATGTGGTCTAAAAGCATTGCCCTTAGCACGCATTGGTTTCTAAACAGTGACAGTGCTCGCTCTCTGCTAAAATAAGTGTTTATCCAAGAGAAAATTACTTTTAGGAGCGCCTGGGTGGCTCTGTTGGTTAACCGTCCGACTTCGGCTCAGGTCGTGATCTCATGGTTTGTGAGTTCGAGCCCCTGTCGGGCTCTGTGCTGACAGCTCAGAGCCTAGAGCCTGATTTAGATTCTGTCTCCTCTTCCCTCTGTCCCTGCTCACTTTGCTCTCTCCCAAAAACAAATAAACGTAAAAACATTAAAAAAAGGAAAAAAGAAAGAAAATGAGTTTATTCTCATACCAAAATCCTGAGTGAACAACCTCCCTCCAAGGACTATTTTCCTCATTTATAAAATGATGTTATAACCCCTCTATTGCAGAATTAATGAGGAACATAAATGGAAAGTACTTTGCACAAGAACCTGGGTGTATAAACACTCAATACAGTCACGCCTATATTATTGAATCATTATATTCATTATCATATCAACCATAATTGCCATAAGCTAAGAGAATTCCACCTAGTCTCAGTCACTAAAAGACTACAATTGTGTAAGTATGTTCACTGTGCGAAAACTTTGGTTCGGTTGATAAATGATCACTGACATAATTACCGCATTTCTCCAAAACGGTTAAGGATTCTCTCTGCTGTTTTGTGATTGGGGGAGTGGTATAAAGTTCAGGAAACGATTTGGAGGCTCAAGTCTAACATCAATCCATCCTACCCAAACTGATCACCAGGAAAGAAACAATCCTTGGCCAGTCTTCGGGCCAACCATCGTTTTTGCTGGCTATAACACTCCCGCTGGCTTATGCCAATCCCTTCTCCTCTGCTTCTTAAGCCTCTCTGATCACCAAACTAAGAAGCAAATAGACTCAAGAGCTCCAAGAGCCTAACTTTCCCTTCTATGTTACCAACGACGACAAGTAAGAACAGGGAACGGCATACAGTGGTTTTCTTTAGCCTCTGGAGCACGTCCACAGAACCCGACATTTCAAGACTCCCCTCCAGAAAGGATTTCTAACGTAGAAGGTCTTGCTTCCCTTCCCCAACAAGAATCCCTGGGAGTGACTATTCCAGCGCTTAGTTACTCGACTCTGAACTTGCAGCCTGGTAACTCGTATGCCTCGTAAAACATTTTCTGCAAAACTATCCAAAACAGTGTTGAAAAGCCTACCTCAGCTTGGCAGAGGGCATGAAGACCTTGTAGCACCAAGGCTGCTGGAGTGGCTTGGTCAGGTTTGGTGCACTCATTCAACACCTGGGAAATGGCTGCCAACATGTCTGCTCCATGCTGATAGGGCCTGTGAGAAACGATTGTTCAGAGACCATATTAAAGTCGAAGAGCGCAGGCGCACTCCCAGGACATCTGCCTGAACAGAGAGCGTTCGTGCTTTTCTTTACGCTTGTGCCCACTGAACGCTGACCCTCCAATACGAATGCATGTTTTCGTCAAAGATTCGCATCGTCGTCGTTACTGCTGTAACTGGAGACTCATTTCTGATACAGAAATGTTATCCAAAAAAGAGGACCCGTGCTAACAAATGTTACTCTTCCCTAAGCCGTACATCCTATTGTCTGAATTGACACAAACTCAAGTCTCCGATAATGGTGGAAAGAACTGACTGACCTCATTGAGATTATCAGTAAAAGATAGAGCTATTTCCTGCCTGCCCCTTGCTCTGGTTATCAGCCACTGACTACAAAAGCAGGGATTGCGTATCAGAAGGTCATTTATGACAGTAGCGAAACTAAGGGGGTTACACCTATCACAATAATGATGCTGATGCTGAGGACGATGATAAAAATAATGATGTGAATTGTAACTGACCAAACACCTATCTCGTGCCAGGCACTCTGCTGGATTCACGCACTCAGGCTCCTCCTCTCCTCTCCTCTATTCCACATGTCATGTGCTGTCCCCAAAAGGATTTTAACTCCCCAGAGAAATGCTCAGGCCCATCCTTGGCTTTCCCGGTCACCCCTGAATGACGTAATAGTTTTCTCTAACGAAATACCAACTGATAAAACTGCCCGGCTGGATTCTACGGTTCCATTGTCTGGCAAACGGAAATGATTTTCCAAAACTGGAAAGATCTGACAGATCTTGAGGTGGCAACTGAAAGGAACACTGAATATATTCAATAGACTCTGACCTGGGCTGATATTTAACTTTTACTGAACCTCAACTTTAAGTGTGTAAAATTAAAATGTTGGCTAATGGGGTGCCTGGGTGGCTCACTCGGTTAAGCATTCAACTCTTGATTTCGGCTCAGGTCATGATGTCACGGTTCATGAGTTCAAGTCCCACGTCAGGCTCCATACTGATGTTATAGAATCTGCTTGGGATTCTCTCTCTCTCTCTCTCTCTCTCTCTCTCTCTCTCTCTCTCTCTGCCCCTCCTAGCTTGCATTCTCTCTCTCAAAAAAAATAAAAATAAAATAAAAATGGTGGCTAATAATTCCTTCATCTCTAAAATTTTTTCCATGCCGGTACCTCAAGAGAATCCAAACTCTCAGGTTTTGGGTTATATGTGTGTGACTTGTAGAGTGAGGTTATGTTTGGGTGGCCAAGAGACTGAAGCTTAGAAAAGAAGCAGAATTGCTGAGGTTTAGATCCATGCTGATCCGAGATTTATTTGAAACCGGAATCATCCACGTTACCGCTTCAGGATTAATCCATAATCGACAAGAGCAGAGTCACTTTCCTAAGACCCTCACATCTTCCTATACTCTAGAGCATACATGGGGATTCAATAATAGGCCTCCCTTGTAATAATTTCTAGTAATTAATTCTATGAGATGAGTCACAAATAAGGCCTTCCCTATTAAAACTCTTTATAACAATCGGGCATAACATGGGGAAAATATAAGAACGAACAGTTTGACTTTACTCCACTGTTTAGGTTTTAGAAATTTGTTGTATACAAAAAAAAAAAAAAGAAAAAGAAAAAAAAAAAAGAAAACATAACATCACATTTTTATTATAATATTATTATCCAGAAAAGGATCTGAATTTCCTATAAATCAAGATACGAGGCTAGTACTGAGATAGACATGCTTGTTTCTTGAAGTCATTATCCAATATTATTAAGTTTTATAATTAGAAAACTTGACCTGAAAATTAACTTATTCTTACTCAAATACCCTCTGCCTATCTTTCCTGGCTTCTCACTTGCAATAAAAGAATTAGGTGCAAAATAATACACCATGATATACATTCCCAAGAGTTAAGCACAGCTTACCTTTGCTTACATATGTCTCTTATCGATGCTGCTTTAGCGATGAGTTTCTCCCACTGGACTTCCTTGCCCACAGACAGAGAAGGCACGTCAGACATGGCCATGAAACGCTGCAGTTCAGGATATACACGATCCTAAGAAGGCAATTTCACAAAAAAGGTAATTTTCCAACTTGAGTTGAATAATCACTTTACACAGCATTTTTACCTCCAAATCTCACATTTGCATCGCTAATTACAATGCATTTCTTCTAATCAGCAGAGAACAATGCTTTTGTGATTGCTGGGGATTTTCTTAGAGACCCATGCACGCCTCATTTCATAAGACAAGAAAAAGGTGGCTGAATCTCACCCTAATTACAAAGGCTCTAATCGTTTATAATCATACTTCTATTACTTTTTCCACACAGATGGAAAAATCAATTTCAGAATTCAAGGAAAAAAGTTTATTTTCTATTTTCAATTTCTCTTTGAGAGCCAATCACAACTGACTGCCTTACAGATCAAAAGCATCCCGCTGAACCAAACTTTCTCAATGCAATCACGGACATGCCTCCTTAACACGACTGTATCAAAGCTTTGTCACGCGTACTGAAAAACTCATTTGCTTCGGCGAAAGGAACATGTTTGATATGCAAGTGTTTTATCAGAGCTCACCTGCTTTTCCCACAAAGATGTCAACAAGCGCACAGTGACAGCTCTTAGGTGTGGAGTAGTTCCAAGAAGTTGGATCACTCGTAGAATTTGTCCTATGCACACCTAGAAAATATTGAAGAAATTATGGTTTCACAAATGTAAATGCAGATAATCCTGAGGTTACCACAATAACGTGAAAACCCCTTGTTATAAAATAAGGACTGAAATGGAAGCTAACTATAATATTACCCATCTTTCTGAGACGTGGGTCATAGTTTTAGGGAGGAGCTAGCTAGCAATCCTTGGGCATAAAAACCTAATCTCAGACAACAGCCAATGGGAAAACTTGGCTATGAAATGATTTCAAAGAATTCATTCTTTAATTTTTTTTTTTTTAACGTTTACTCATCTTTGAGAGACAGAGAAAGACAGAGCATGAGCGGGGAAGGGGCAGAGAGAGGGAGACACAGAATCCGAAGCAGGCTCCAGGCTCCGAGCCGTCAGCACAGAGCCCGACGTGGAGCTCGAACTCACCAACTGCAAGATCATGGCCTGAGCCGAAGTCGGGCGCTCCACTTACTGAGCCACCCAGGTGCCCCCAAAGAATTCATTCTTAAATACTATAATAAATACTTTGGGCCCAACAAGGAAAATAGTGGTCATGGCAAAATTAAGAGCTCAAAATTTCACGATACCAAACAAACTTCAATGTAGTATTCATGCCTCACTTTCTCTTTTTAAATTTATTATTTACTTTTGAGAAAGACAGAGAGAATGCCAGCAGGGGAGGGGCAGAGAGAGAGAGGGAGAATCCCAAGCAGGCTCCACGCTGTTAGCACAGAGCCCGACGTGGGGCTTGAAGTCACAAAACTGAGATCACGACCTGAACCAAAATCAAGAGTTGGATGCTTAACCGACTGAGCCACCCAGACGCCCCTCATGCCTCACTCTCTTTTTGCCCCCGAGTAAATTGGTTAAATACAAACCTTGTGAACACCAAGTGTAGGCAAAGTATACAAGATATCATTATATAATACAGGTTCCAGTGGTCTTCCCAATTTGAACATCAAAACTGGAATCAGATTTGGTACCTAAAATGAATTTAAAGAACATATTTGTTATGCCTTCTAAAATAAATCAATCTCCAAAGCAATCATTATTGAGGTTTTCTTCAAAAGAATAAGGGGAATATATATAAATTTCAAGACTTAACATTAGCTAGCCATTTTTCGTTAATGCAATTTCACAGTACCACTAATACTCTATTTCTTTTGTAATTAGCCACCAAATACCAATCAAAAATGTTTTTCTTTTTTCTTTTTTTTTTTTTTTTTTAATTTTTTTTTTTTTTAACGTTTATTTATTTTTGGGACAGAGAGAGATAGAGCATGAACGGGGCAGGGGCAGAGAGAGAGGGAGACACAGAATCGGAAACAGGCTCCAGGCTCTGAGCCATCAGCCCAGAGCCTGACGCGGGGCTCGAACTCCCGGACCGCGAGATCGTGACCTGGCTGAAGTCGGACGCTTAACCGACTGCGCCACCCAGGCGCCCCAAAAAATGTTTTTCTTAAACAACTATGACAATACCTCTCAGCAATACAAAAGTAGTTAAAATATATCCTGCCCCAAAGAAGTTTACAGTTCTAATGAGAAGCTGACACTTAGGATATGTACACGAAAAATAACTGTAGAGTGAAATATGTTATTCCAATATGAAATAAGTAAAATTAGTTGTACGGTAAGGGAGGGTTAATGGCAAAAACTTCCCTACAGGTCTCCATTTCAATCCCTACGATAAAATAAGAAGAACAATTCATTTGTGGATGAAAAGACGTGATATTGTTAAGATGGTGATATTTTCCAAATAGGTCTGCAGATGCCACATAATCCCCATCAAAATCCTAGCTGACTTCTTTGCCAAAATTGAAAAGTGGATCCTAAAATTCATGGGGAAAAGCAAGGGATCCCAAATAGCCAAACAATCTTGAAAAAGAATCAAGTTTGAGGACTCAAACTTCACAATTTCAAAGCTTACTACAAAGCCACAGTAATCCAAAGAGTGTGGCACTGTTACAACAACAAGAAATATAGATCAATGAAACAGAACTCTGAGTCCAAGAATAAATCCTTACATTCATGTCCAGTTGATTTTTGATAAATATTCCAAAAAACCTACAATGGAGAAAGAAGAGTTTCTTTGAAAAATGACACTGGATTTCAACAACTGGATAGCCACATACAAAAGAGTGAATCTGGGTCCTTTCCTTACACAACACATAAAAATTAACTCCAAGTAAATTTCAGACCTAAGTGTCAGTGCTAACACTACCAAACTCTTGAAGAAAATATAGTAGTAAATCTTTGTGACCTTGGGTTAGGCAAAGCCTTTTTAGATGGGACACCAAAAGCGAGTGCAACAAAAGAAAAAAGAATACATTTCACCAGCTTAAAAATATCTGTCCTTCAAAGGGCACCACAGAGGGGGAAAAAAATCACAGAATGGGGGAATTTTTGTTTTTTACAAATCATCCATCGAATAAGATATTTGTATCCAGAATATATAAAGAATTCTTCTAATTCTATAATAAAAGGACAAATAACCCAACTCTAAAAGAGCAAAGGATCCAAAGAAGATAAGCAAATGGCAAGAAAGAAAGACAGGGATACTCAACCATCATTAGCCATGACATAACTGCAAATCAAAAGCAGGATGATATACCCCTTAACATCCAATAGGATCTATAAAAAAAAAGACAATATCAAATGTTGGCGAGGATGTGGAGAAATGTGGACCATCATGCACTGCTGGTAGGAATATCAAATGGTGAACCCCCTTCAGAAAACAGACTGGCAGTTTATCAAATGGTTAAACAGAATTACCAGATGATCTACAATTCTACTTCTAGGATCTATCTACCCAAGAGAAATGAAAACATTTCCACACAAAAAACCTGTACAGGAATGTTCAGAGCAACATAATTCACAACAGCCAAACAGTGGAAACAACCCAAGGGTCCGTAAACTGATGAATGGATAAATAAAATGTAGCACAGGGGCATCTGGACGGCGCTGGTTGAGCATCTGACTCTTGACTTCAGCTCAGGTCATGATCCCAGGGTCCCAGGAGCGAGCCCCATGTTAGGATCCGTGCTGAGCATGAAGCCTGCTTAACATTCTCTCTCTTTCTCCCCCTCTGCCCCTCTTCCCTGCTTGTGCTCTATTAAAAAAAAAAAAAAATGTAGTATAGCCCTACAATGGGAATATTATTCAGCCATAAAAAGGAAAAGGAACCAACAGGGATGAACTTTGAAAACATCACGTCGAGTGAAAGAAGCCAATCATAAGAGACCACATAGTAAATGATTCCATTTATATGACATATCTAGAACAGGCAAATCTATAGAGACAGAAAGTAATTGCATGAGACTGGAAAGTTGTAGAGGGAAATGGGGAGTGATTGCTAAGGGGTACAAGGTTTCTTTGGGGGATGATGAAACTGTTCTCAAAGTATTTGTAATTACGTTTGCACAACTCTGTGAAATATACTAAAAATCACTGAACTGTACACTTTGCATGAATTACATAGCATATATAACACAAAGCATGTGAATTATATCTCAATAAAACTATGAGCCTATCGATGGCACACTTTAGTACCAAAACGAATTATTTTCCTTCCAGTGCATTTCAGTTTTGTTGCCCAGAATGTTACATGTCCTCTACCTGCTATAATCATAGAAAGTCTGTTTCTTCTAAGCTTAAGAAAACATCTACTTTAATTCACTTTCAAGACAGAAGAAAAATTCTCCAAACCCTACTAACCAAAAAGTAACAGTTGAACATTAATTCATTAATGACCTTGACCATGATATACCATGGCAGCATTTGGAGCTACACATTAAAAGGGCCACAGGCTCACAGCACATAGCCAGAATTGATGTTTTTAACAAGTGCTGGGACTCTGTTAAAACAGAAGTTCTATCACCCTATATTGAGCAAATGAACGGAGACAAATTTTTGAATTGGCTTCTTATTCCCCATTTTAATTAAAAACAAAAGGTTATCTTAGATTGCATTACACAAGTCTCAATTACCCCTTCTGGTAAGATTTCTACCAAGACACGTTGACAGATTCTTAGTTCTGGGAAGGCAATCAGTACATTTACTGACATTTTATAAAATAGTGTATTTAGCTGTATGGCTTCCAAACAACTGGTTTAATTATATTGTCAGAAAAGAAATAAAGTACTCTATTTATGTTAAAGAGTACAGTTTTTTTTTTTTTTTTTTTTTTTT